TCCAGTGCCAATGAGACTACACCCATCAGTGTCAGTGAAGACTGTGTGGAGAGCTAGAAATCCCACCTCTCTGGCAGTAATGGTGGTTCCTCCTCTCTAGACCACATCCTCAGGTGTCAATGGAGTCCAGATGGAGAATCTGGATTTCCACCTCTAGCTGGCAGTAACGAGGCCATACCACCTTAGTGCCTCTTCACTAGAGAGGTATACAACAAAGTCAGTCAAAAGAGAAGATGTCAATAAAACCAAACTCTCATAATTTAATACAAAAATGTCCAGATGCCATTTGAAAATCACGCATCACTGCAAGAAAGAGGAAGATCTCAAACTGAATCAAAAAAAGACAATTAATAGGTGCCAACACCAACATCATTATAAGCTCTCCTTCCAAACAAGGATGATAAAACCAACTCTTCTCACTCCTGAAGGTCTCTTCTAACTTCAGACATTATCTGGGTAGAGATACCCACAGGCTGTGCATCACTAGGATAAACTGGAGATGAAAATTCTGCACTGACTGATTCTTCGGTATGTGGGTCCTAACTCCACTTTACCCCACATCAGCCATAGCACATCAGGGAGAGGGAGATATGTGATAGACCGATTTGGAAGCTATGCCAGAGTAAAGAAGTAAAATCCTTATGTATGTCACTTCTACTCCTGTCCAGTGTCTTCCTTGAACAAGGGATGAACCCAGTGAGGGACTGAGTGTATGATTCTTGTCTTTTTGAAGACCCCACACTGAACCCTCATTGAAAAGTTTTAATACTGAACAAGTCAAGTGTTTTGAAATTTAAAAGGGCTGATTACTGCAAACATGAGAACTAAAGCTTCAATCTCAAATGCCATCTCTGTAGCTACAGACATTTCTCATTTTTCTACAGTGGAGTGGAATCTTTATCTCCCAACCCATATATCCAGTTCCTCAACACTCCATAAAAATTTTATATTACATCTGAACCAATGAAGCACTGTCCAATTTTTTTCCTGAAAACAAAAGCAAAAAACAAATAATTCCCTAGGTGACATAGCAGGTGGGAAGACTAAGAGAGATAGCTGATGAGTGAAAAATAAAATCTTAATGTTACATTCATAGCTGCATAAGAAATTAACTGCCACTGTATTTATTAAGCATGTACAGTTACAGTCTTTATCTCCACTCTGAGATGGCCTGGGCCAATTCCAATAGCCAAAGCAACACACATACACATATCTTTTTCCTGACTGAATCCACTGTGACTTCTGCAATTGCTGGACTACTATAGCAATTGCTGGGCTACTACAGTTAACCACCAGTTAAACAACAGTTGCCCTCAAGTTGACTTGTGTAGAAACCATTATGCAGGGTTGAGAGAGCAGAACTCGGCTGTGTAGGATATTTGATGGCTGATTTTTCAGATGTCCATCTCCAGAGCTTTCTTCTGAGAGGCCTTTACCAAACCTCACCCACTGCCATCAATTTGGCTCTGACGCATAACGACTCCCATTGGCTTTCTAAGGCTGTAAATCTTTACATAAGATTGCCTCATCTTTCTCCCACAGAGCAGCTGGGGGATTTAAACTGCTGACCTTCTGGTTAGCAGTCAAATGCCTTACCCACTATGCTCCTCAAGGGGCCTTTGGGAGGACTCAAACCTCTGACCTTTTAGTGAGCAGCTGAGCGCTTCAGCCGCTTGCATAACCCAGGGACACTTATGGTTAACCACACCTGCAATTAAAAACCACA